GGAATAATTTCACCTGCCAGAGCCAAAGGGTGTATTAGTATAACCAGTATAACAACAAGTATAACAATATATATAATATATATATAATAACAACTATAACCAGAGCAGTCGAGTGACGGTCCTACATTTGTCCAACACATATGATCCAGTTTGACACACACACACACACACACACACACACACACACACGTTTTCGCCTCACCACCCTGACTCGCATATCTTCGTGAGGAATGACACGAGCGCCGAGCAACGCGGCCACACCCATTACCTGTTTAACAGCCCCATCCTGTCACGATGACCTCCGGAGCCCCGCTCAACAGGCCGTCTGTACCTCTCAGCAAGTTTCCTTTTACTGATCTTCACTTGAGATACGCTCAGCAGCACAAAGTGGACTCAGCCACTCGTCCAGCATTTCAGGTATTTGGACCAAAGCCACGAGTGCAGCAAACGAAGAACTCCTCTTTGCTTCCATTTGAAGAAAAGTGTAGAAGATTCCTCATCATCACTGAATCTCTGCATACCGAGCTCATTAACAGGCTGCTGGCACACATATGTAGCTTATGTATTTCAAATGACATATTTAATCGCTTTCGTCCTGAGACTTCAGCCGATCGAACAAGTTCAGAATTGTTTGGGGAAAAAGGTCCAGCTGTGCCAAGAGCTACAAACTCTGCCCAGTAGCACTTTTGAAGGATGCAGTGTGATGTTTGTCACGTGCAGCATGTTTGCTGTGCACAGGAAACGTGAGCAGACACAAAGACCCGTCCAAAGGAGAAATCTTTATGAATCTGCTTTGGGACAGAGCTCGATCTGACCTATCACAGACGAGCCCACAGCCAGTGCACTCACAATCACATGAACAGGTAAGGAACCAGATATTGTTCACTGCTGCTAAACGTGGACTTTCAACCTCAAACGTAACCCAACAAGAGGAAACACCGCAGCCAGCGTCCAGCACAAACCACAACTTTTCATTCACACTGTCCTTTTCTAACAACCACACATAAAGTGCTGACTCACTGAACCTGACAACTCGACTCCCTCCTCTTTGAGATAAGCTCACAGTAATGAGTGGCATGAATTTTCTAATAAAACTGGAGCCTCACAAAATGTGGACGTATTCCTGTAAAAGGAGCCCGACTCGCTCCCATTCGTCCCGTAAACTCTCACAGGGGAAACTTTCTTCACATAACAGATACAGAAGGTGTGGCCGCAGCCTCAAAGTGCTCGACATACAGTCTGTGTAGCGGAACAAAGGACGGCCGAAACCTCAGATACAATAACCTACTTTCCTCAATGGGAACAAACAGGGTCGACGAGATCTAGCGTTCAGCTGCCATTATGATGCCTGTAAACACACGCCGCTCAGCCCGCTCCACACAACAACCTTCATCCTGTTTCTGGTCTCACGTGAATCTCAGACGAGGACAAAAGCGCGTCAAGTTTCTCTGGACGTGATCGACAGTATAAATGTTTGTGTTCTCGATACGTTTCCAACAGCATCCAGAGACTATTTCAGGTTATCGTGCTGCTGGATTACTCTGATTACTCTGATTACTCTGTGACCAGTTACATGGGAAGGTGACTCACTGTGGAAAACTTCACTCAGCTGCAAATTATGGCAACTATTTCTTTCATGAATCAGCAGTTAAATCTTCAGATACACCAGACCGGAGGAAGTTTCAGAGTATTTTATTCTTCAAGTATTTCAGTGATAAGATACAGTCTTAATCTTAATCTTCTAGACAAAATATATTTTTAAACACATGACTTGGTTTTGTTATTAAAATAATTCTGATCTTTGATTTTTCTTCGTCGCGCTCTCACTCGTCTTTACTCTGCAGCGCCTTGCTCATGTGCCTCATTGCGATCAGCGCCGTCAGGATGCAGCAC